TCGCATCTTGCTCCTGTGAATTCAGTTCTGTCACTACAACATCTTTTCCTTTTTCCAGTACTTCAACAGGCCATTGATTCATCTCTTTTGCTTCCAAGAGTTCTCAGTCACTGGTGCTTTACCTTTCACGATCTCCGCAGCGCTTACTCCTTTTTTAACTTGATGATCTGCTGCTTTCAAGTTTCTGCGATGATTATCAGCGTCATCCTTCTTTCCCTTAACATGTCGACATTCCGATTCGGCATGACCGATCTTACGACACTTCAAGCAATAATCAGGAAGGTTCTCGTACGTAATTGATTGAAAGTACGAATGCTCCGTAGTACCTAATCTTATTTGTTCGGGAAGATCGTGCAACAAGTTCACCTCAACACATACCCTTGCTATTGACAGCCTTGACATATTTAGGGTTGGGACGTCGATCTTCAACGGAGTTTCGATGATTCCAGCCAACTTCCGCAAATAACTTTCATTGAATCGATGAATTGGTAAGCCTTCAAAAGCTACCCAAACTGGAGCAATCAAGGACTCATGTTCCGGATTAAATTCGGAGTCCACTTCAACACCCTCATGATAGGATGATAGAACAACCAATGCCCTTTAATCCAACATCGTTGAAAATCGTCTTCTTGATCAAAACAAATCAATGTGCCTATGATCAAGCATTCCCAATGAAAACTCACCTTTAAACCCAATTTTTTGAAACTGCAACCACAAAAACTCCATTGCCGGCCGTCCCTTTGAGAATTTACCAATGAGCGCTAGTTTATTGGATGATGTGTCTTCAAAACTTTATTCCCACCCAAGCAGCTGGTTATAATAACTCTGGTTATCAATCAAAATTTATGCATTAGTTTTTGTTTTTTTGAGGGATGTTAATATCTGATTGTTATACACCAATTTGTGTTACTATTATGGCCTCAAAGATAAGCAATTTTTTCTTCGTCATTCTAAATGCAGTCACCACTGTGTGCATTCTCAGTCTTATTAGCAGATGAATTTATATGTTTCAATCTTTAAAATTTTTGTTCATTATGTGTTATAGAGGTGGAACATTCCTGAAAATGCAATGCTCACTGTGTATCGCTTCCTTAAATGTTTGTCGTTACCATACAACTTGAAGTACCAGTCAGAGTTTATGTTACTATACTTGCTGAAGTGTCTTGCCATTTATTATGCTTTCTGCATGCAGTTGAATGCTTAACATGGCAATGTTCACTTTTTCTTTATCTACCAATAAATGACTTTGGACGTGGTTTGTTTCTCATTTTACATGTAGTGCAAGTAGTAAATTTGGCTTCAGTTGAAATATTTACATTAGAAATATTCAATTATGATGATTTTTATTTTTTGTTGGACTGAATTCGAAAATGAAGAAAGGAAACAGATGGAATACAATGATGATTAAAGGATGGAATAGACAATGATGACTCATTGCCTTTGATTTTAAAGATTACTGAGGCTGAAGAGGCTAAACACATTGTAATTAATAATAGGCCGAGGTTTGGGACATTTGGAGGAGCACTTTCTAAAAGAAGTGTTTATTCTTTTAAAAATCTATGTCACTCATCAAATTTCTTTTTCTGATGATTTGTTTTAATTGTGTAACCAATGAAATCATAGACCGGCCATTGGCCACGTATTCATTTATTTTTACCTTTTTTTTTATCATTGTTAGTTATGATAATAAAATATATAACATGAGGTTTTTTATTATTTATTTTTTATTCTAATGCAATATATTCTTTTTAGTTATACATTATTTTATTGAGCAAGCTCGCCTTGGTATTCGTCTGAGATAAGTTATTATTATACTAATATCAATACATTTTATTATAAATATAAATTCTAAGAGATCGCCCGGGCATCCGCCCGGGCCAAGCATCTAGTTTTTGATTGAAGATAAAAGATAGGTTTCTATTTTCATTTTCCTAATTATTAATTAACTTTTGAGAATAATAAGAAATCAAACTAACAAAGTAAATCTTATCTTAACAAAGCAAATCAAATCCAATCACAACATGATCTGCAAATTTGAAATTCGTATTCTATCATAGGCTAATCACATCTGCAAATAAAAATCCAAACTCTTACACCATCGAAATTTCACACTGATAATCCATCAAGCACTCAAACTAAATATCCCTGGTTATGTATTCAAGATCTCCGTTATCTATTGCCATCACCATCCGCATCAAGTCTGGTTCTAAAGTAGCCATTATTACCAATATTAGTTTTCTTTGTCATGATTCTGAATTGCTTTATTTCTGTTGCAGTTTCGATAGATGTCATAATATTGTTGCACGCTTGTCTGTTGCTTGGAAGTAGAAAGATATAGTTTTTTTTAGGGAACTATTTTGTATCATTGTTTATGTTTTTCATCAAGGATATGGAAAAATAAGAAATTATAAGAAATAGGAGGGTTTGGAATCAACGGGTCACATTCTAATTCTGCAGAGTGACCTATGCTATCAGCAAACAGATGTTGGTGTCACACATTTTACAAGTGATATGAGTTATGACGAACATCAGTTGATTCTAAATCTTTATCACTACATATATGTTTAATGCTTTTCTTTTCTTTTTTTATTCTGCTAACCTCATTTCTTTTCCTTTAATTGTTTCTTTAATGTACAGTTTTGTGGTTAAATTGCTGACCACATTTTGATTTCATGATAGCCTTGGGAGAGTGAGTTCATTGACTCCCAAAGAGTTAAGACTGAATATGCATTATAAAGACAAGAAGCTTAGGCATAGAATCAGTGTTTGGCTCTCGAAGATCTTGAGGTCAGTATTGATATTGTCTCCTATGATTTTGTTTTTTTAATTCTTGTTTTTTTTTTTTTATCTTTTGGCCTATGGTTTATGTTGATCTCTAATTTTGGTCCGCATGTGTGTGGTGGTAAGTGGTAACCGGTAACTTTGTTTACATAGAGGGATCCTGTGTTGCTATTTCAACTCACTCTCTTATTCTTTTACTTAATTTATAACATTGATGGGTCCTTGGGATCCGAGGATCAAAACATTGTTCCAAAGGACAGGCACATTGCACACTCTTACATATGACAAATGATGGAGAGTGAGAATAGATTTTAGTTTTTTATAAAAAGAATGTTAATGTATAAAATCTTATATTAAATTTTTGATATATAAAAATAAAGTAATCAAACACAATAGACTTTCGTTATAATGAAGTCTTTTATACTACAATCTACTCCTCCCCATCATTATTTTATGATTTTACTTATTGTGAGTTAAAAAAAAAAAAAACTATAACATTACTCCAACTCGAACTTTATTAGTTCCTGAAAATGATTGTCGATAGGTAATTATAAGATTTTATTTATCCATTTTAAAAAAGAAATATATCTGAAAAAGATTTTGGACTTGGAGTAGGTTTGTTGTTGCCTATTATTTCTGATAGTAGGTTGACCATCAATGAAGGGAAGAACTTCATTTACTTTATCGAATAGGTAGAATTTTTGTTTTTGTTTTTTATTTTATTTTTTGATTTACAAAAACTGGATGTATCTGATTTATTCTATGTTCTCATGTTTATTTTGTGAATAATTATCAGGGCAACAAGAATGTGACTTAAATATTTTTTTTTTTAAAAAAAAACCAATCCCTTTTACAAATTTTATGGAACTCCATTTGGAGAGTCATCCAAATAATTTCGGAATTAAATTGGACAATGACATGTCTAAATAATATCACTTCGATCACGTATAAGAAAATCTTTAAACGCAATACAAAAATTCTATTTTTCACGGATTCTAATATATAATATGAATTGTTTTCTTGTAAATGAATTTTTTTCATTTTTTTAATAATTATTACTACAACACATACACTGCACCTGGTAAGCACTAATTTGTATTGAAACTAAAAAATCAAATGAGGGGAGTACTTATTGCTGCGGGGCAGAGTAAAATACAAGTAGCAACTGCAACAATATTGGAGTGTAGATAAGTTTATAATTCGCGGCTTGAAGACAGAAGACGTATGATCACTTGATCAGTCTGGTAATAATGTCTCTGACCATGTTATTTGTGGTTGGATTCGTTTCTCCATTCGAAAGGAAGTCAAGAGTTCTTGAATCAGGCAGCTTCCAACTGTTTATACCTAGTGTATATATCTCTTCATCATTTTAGTTATAAGGGAATATTGGAAGCTTGATGACCTCTATTATTTTCGCAACTTTGAAGAAATTTAATTTCGATTTGGTTACGATTTCCCTATAATCTGGAGAAATTATCTCACCGCTTTCGGGCACAGGATTGTCTGTGCCACTTTCTTGTGACTGTGACACAATCTAATTACTCTTTATAAATTATATAATTTGTGCTAATACATATACCATAGTCACACATTGTCAATGTAGATATTTTTCATATTCTTATTTTATTTTTTATATTAATATTTTATTTTTTTATGAAATTTGACTACTTTTATTGAATTTTTTAACTATAAAAATTAAAATAAATAAGCCCTAATCCCAAAAAAGTGAATTCTTAGTTCTAAAATATATAAGTTTGAAAGTGATTGTGAATGGTATATATATTAACACAAATTATATAATTTATAAGAAATAATTGGATTGTGTCACAGTGAGTGTCACAAGAAAGTGACACAGAAGATCCTGTGCCTCGATTTCGTGAGAGACGGATGATCATCAGGGCGATTCGCCGGGAGCTGGCTGAGCAAAAAAAATTAGCTTCTCGTCTGGAGCCAAGTGAAACTTTTTAGAGAAGTTGGATAGGATTATCATAGGCCAAATTTTTTGCTAATAAGAAGAGTGCTTACAACGATGCTGTGTATAGAATCCTTCCTTATTCTTCTATCCATTAAACTGTCAAATTTCTCTTGTTTTTTTTTCTCAATCTCCAATTGGATTTCATCATCAACAGCAATTTTATTGGCTTACAAAAAACTCAGTAGAAATTAGTTTTCTTGGCGTGAAACAGCCATTAACTGTATTTCTAAAGATTGAACTAAGAGGTTAGAGAAAATGAGCTCTAAAGTTGCGAATTATGAGACAACTAGCTATGAAACAAGTTAAAAATATCTGAAAATTTCAAGAGGTTGCTCCTATGTTCATAAAGCAGTGCAGGAATGAAGAAGACTCAAAGGCTGTTACTGAACAGAAGACAATTACATGATAGCCCTTTGAATGTAGCAGCACTAACCAATGATGAAGCTTTCTGGTTTTCGACTACCAGGACATTACAACATCAAGTTTCTGAACCCAGAGAAAAAGTAAAGAATCATGTCTTCCAATGGAGATCATCTTGCAAATATCTATCTGTACATTTAAGAGTGTGCTGCTGAGCAAGTTATGTCCTGCTAAATTCAGTTCTAGGAGTAGACCAAGGAGTGCCATCCAATTCTGATTCAAACCTCATTATTTCCTCAAAACCCTCTGGAAGAACAGAGTGAATCTTGACAATAGGCTTCCTTGGAGGCAAAGGTGGGATTGGCGCTTCGCCTTGCAGCATACTTGTTGCTTCTCTTACAGTAGGCCTTTTCTGACAATCAGGGTGCACACAGCAAAGTCCAACCATCAGCATCCTTTCCATTCCTCTTCTGCTAAATCGCCTGTTAAGTCTACGATCTGCTGCCTCGATTAGTCTCCCTTTCTCCCATAAGTCCCAAACCCAATCAGTGATAACTGTTCTGTCTTCATCAACAGGCCTCCTCCCTGTTGCAATCTCCAGTACCACAACACCGAAGCTGTAAACATCGGTTTTCACTGTTGGAATGCCAGTAAAGACGTATTCAGGCGCAAGATATCCCATTGTTCCAGCTGGAACTGTGGCATCTCTAGTTCTGGGACTCTTCTGATAAACTTCTGCCAGACCAAAATCTCCAAGTTTGGCATTGAACTCAGAATCAAGCATTATATTGCAGGTCTTAACATCTCTGTGTATTATCTGATTTATACACTCCTCGTGCAAATACACCAGGGCTGAGGCAACACCAAGAACAATGTTTAGTCTTGTCTCCCAAGTGAGGAACTTGGCAACATTGCTATGACCATGCAAAATTTTTTCCAGGCTTCCATTGGACATGTACTCATAAACCAGGACTAGCTCATTCTTCTCGCAGCACCATCCTTTGAGCTGAACTAGGTTCTTATGTCTCACACACCCCACCATTGTGGCGAATTCATTGTCGAATGGCACCCGTGATGAATTGTCGAATGAATCCAGTGAAGTGCCTAAGCTTTTCCCTTGGTCCTTAAACCTTTTGACTGCAACATTTCCATAAGAGGGAATAGTTCCTTCATACACCACTGCTGAAGCCCCTTCTCCAATGATTCTGTCTACATTGAATCCTTTTGTAGCTTCTTTTATCTCAGAGAGCGACAAGTATTTGGGAACTTTGCTACCATGGAACCGAACAATATGCTTTCCCTTTCTTCCTCTCCTAATTTTCCTTCTCTTCCTCACCATGAGCACAGAAAACATTACAGAAGCTGTGACTAGAACAAAGATTGCAACTGAACCCCCAACAAGAAGAATCAACCATAAATTCCACCTATTTGGAAGGTTAGAATCCTTATATTCCCTGAAATCCTCAGGCAAACACATCAAACAGTCCCCTTCTTCAACAGTATCCATAGAGATTGTGGTAGACCTGTACCAGAAAGTCTTAAATCGCCAACTACTAACACTATAAACTGATGACCCCCCTCCAACCGAAGCACTGAAACCCACATGCATAAACTCCTGAAATTCATTGGAAAAATCAACCCCAGCAACAAGAACAGGATTAAGTGGCCTTATCTGGGAGTAACCAACCCAAACCCTGATCATCTTCTCTGAATCCCTGTACTCAATCCAAGCAGTCATTTCTTTTCCAGCCTTTAGATCAATCCCTCTTGAAACCACATCAACCGAAGCCACAGATTTGATCTTCCTCACATCGATGCCCACATGGTTCCCATTAACATCATCAAAAAAGGGGTTAAAACTAGTATCAAATTCAACTGCAACGTATGAGTCTTGGCTGCCGGAAACGTCTTCCGGGAGCCCCATACAACCATTATTGATGCTTAAGGAATTCATATTGGAAGTAATCAAGAACGCAAACCCATCACCAAAAGAGCAAGAAGGGGTCGATGTAATGGTGAACGAAAAGCTACAAGAAAAAGAGGCCGTGGCGTTGGTTGAAGAATCAAGAAACCGAATTGGGTTCACATAAAACGCTCGGCCAATCCCAGAAAGAGTAGTAAGAGTCTCTGATTCTGGTGGCGGCGATAAGGTAGAAGAAACACACTCGTGATTTTGAGTAAGCCTAATTGAACCATTCTTGTAAGCAGCGTCACCGTACAGGGTAACATTGTTGGTAAACAGAGGAGCAGAGAACGACGGTGAAGTAAACAGAAGAAAGAAAATAAGATGAACCCAGATGATTTTGAACGAAGATGAATTCATGGTGTGGAGGAATTTGATTAAAGGTCTGGGCTTTTGAAGATTTGGGTTCATTGGAAGAACACATATCAAGATTCGGAATGGGGAAAGTTCTTGAACGGCATAAATGAATGAAGAATGGTTAATTCTCACTAAGCGAACAAAGAATACAAAGGGTCTGAAAACTCAATCGGTGGTGGAGGATTTCTTCGCGATTAAGAGCAAGAAATGAAACCTTGATACAAAATAAGCAGAGAAATTGAAGATGAACAGTGACAAGGAAATTGGGTGGAAGCTGGAATAATCTCGCGGGGAAGACCGTTAATGTGCAGAAAATTTGGGGAAGAATTGGGCAAAGATTTTAGAAGAAATTGGAACTCCTAATTTCAACGAAGCATAAAAATTACTGGAATATATGCAAAAGCTGCGATGTCATTTTTTACTTGATTCTTTTCCTTCGAAAAGTTTTGAAGGGCGTAATTTATATCAAATATCAATGCCTCAACATTTGTGTGTTTATTATTGTAGTCACTGAAATATTTGTCATAACTCATGTAAGTTTAGTTCATAGCCCAGTTTGATGTGTGTAATGATTAAAAAAACCGCACATTGTTCGTGTATAGGATTTGATACCCAACATATAACTTTTGATCACTAACTTATTTTTAATTAGTTTTGAAATGAGAGTTCAAATTCGCTTTAAATTGTGCAAGTATATTAACCAAACAATATAACTAAAAAATTGAATTATGTATGTGTCAAAGAATTCACATCGCTCGTGTTAATCTATTATCTCATATGTGATCTCCAATTGAATTTAAACCAAAATCTTTGTGTGACTTTCCTTGACTCGAAAATAATGGGTATATCGTCTTCCTCATTATAATCATCCTAAAGTCGATACTCCCTCCATTCCAAAATATATGTCGGAGGAAAATTAATTTATTTCAAAATAGATGTCGTTTTCGCATATCTAAGCATATTCTCATCATCCCCTCCTTCTTTAAGAGGATTCGTCCTCGAATCATTAACCTCTATACCTGCACAAAGAACAAACGAGATATAAGGGTTAGTAAAATCCTCACCCTCACCATACTCTGATTTTCTCTCATTGCGTGTATTTTTTTTTTCTGTTTCTACACTATTTTCATGGTTTTCTCTCGCCTCAAATCTTTTCAGCATGACCCTTTTTACTTTCTTGCGTCACTCTCTCGACTTTTTCTCTCCCTTGTGTATAGGTTATCTTACGTCTTTTCTCTCGCACAGATTCAGATTCTTCATAAGCCAAAGGCTTAAGAATATATTTTCTGTCATCTTTAGTAAAGACAAAGATATTCTTCGAGCAATGGGCACAGCATCTACATCTGACTGCCAAGGCCTACCTAGCAAAATATCATAAAGAGACATAGGAATTAAATCAAAGTAAATTTCATCTCTATACTCACCAATCTGAAAAGATACCATGGCCTTCTTAGTGACATCCACAACCATCTCTTCACTCAACCATTGAAGCTTGTATGGTCTAGTATGTGGATCTATCTGGATTCCGTTTGCTATGCAAAATTCCTCACGTATACAATCAGTACTCGACCCACCGTCGATTACCAAATCAACTTCATTGGACCACCCAACCGAACACTTAGTACGGAAGATATATGTCCGTTGATTACCATCTTCAGCGCCAAACACCAATCCCTGATCCTCAATTGGACCATTCCAACCACAAGAAGTATCATGCTCTCTCTCCACTTCTAAGGCAGCATAGTATGCCTTATAGAGCCTTGATTGCCTCCTTATCTTTTGGTTTAGCTTGTACAACAACACCCTTTATTGCTGTTTGACAACAACCAGCAATTTCAGAACTCATTGTTAATCAACAAAGTTGAAAAACCACCAAAAAGAAGTAATTGTGCTTTTGGTACTACACAAAGAACTCCTTGAACCCTAGAATCAATGAATGGCTCGATCAAACCCCCCTCCCCCCCCAAGAACCAAAGGAAGGTTCGAATAAAGCTCTCCCCAAAAACAAAAACTCTCTTGTGCTTTTAAGAACACTAACTCTCAAAATTTTAGAATTAAAGAGAAGAATGCTCCTCTTAATTTACCCTTGTGATTTCGGCAGCAAGAAGAAGAAGAAGAATGGAGTAGACTGATGTGAGAATTTTTGAAAAACAGCACCCCTATTTATAGGTAATGCAAGTCTTTTTGTGCAAGAAAACTCCTACAAGATAGGACCTAAATTTTCTCAAAAATATTTCCTCCTTTAATTGATATAATTCAGTCGAAAATATGGAATAAAGAAGAAGGAAAACCAGCCTCATATATATAGACAAGGATAGAGTCCTAAAACTTAGGTAAACATAATCCTTTTTGGACACAAATTAGGAAAATTCATCCCTACTTATTAGAGATAAAATTTTCAACCACCCTACTACTAAAAGGACTCAAAATACACGGCCACACACATGCACAAGTGTATTAGAAGACTCAAAAAATTTCAGATTAGGATAAAACATCCTTATCTTAATAGTTTTCGAAAATAGACTCACTTTAAAACTCTAATTATAATCTCACTGAAATTATAACTTAATAAATGCAAAAATTAGTATTTAAATCCAAGTAGGACTCAAATAAAACACACAATAAAATTGTATTACAATTAGGAAACAAAGGCAGGAAATTTTCGGCCAATGTGAACACAAAAATCCAAAACCAAATAGGACTCAAATCATAACACAATTTGGACTCGATGACCTTAATTTTAGGGCTAAAATTTTCGGCCATGTGAACACGCAAATACAAGACCAAATAGGTCTCCAAGTGTAACACAAATAGACAACCAAAATTCAAGTTCAACTAGAACTAGGAAACCCTAATTTTTAGCTTCACAATTTCGGCTATACTATGACTCTAAAATTCAAAACCAACTATGCTTAGAATTCCACATAAATCACACGCATACACATGCAAAAAAGTCAGCAAAATTTTGGCTATTAACCTTTTACCACATAGTTAAAATTTGAAAAATTACTTTTGACTCACTTAAAAAGGAAACTTGAAAATTACCACTTTCCAAAAATGGACAACAAGTTTTAGAATCTTTCTAAAAACCCTTTTCCAAATTGTACTTGGAATTATCAAAAATCACTTTTTACCAAAACAATCTATGGCAAATAAAGTAACAAGAACACCATAATTATAATGAAGTAGGAAATTAAAGTTCCTCATTCAACTATGACATTTGCTTCATAATACTAAATTTAACACAAATCATTCTTAAAACTTAATGACTCAACAATGCCATCTTCATAAGTGACCATTGAAAATCAAATTTTCCAAAAACCAAATATGTAAACTTCAAGAATATATCTTAAAGCCTATAAGATTTCTTGTCATAAATAAGAAAATCTTTAGTAAAACTTCACTCAATTCTCGATTTAACTTTCGAAAATCAAGGTTTGAACACAAGTCAAAGACTTCAACCCTTAAAGTTGGCACAATTCAACTTCAAAGACCTTTAAACACTTTGATACCAAAAACTGATATCGCTAAAATTCATTCCTCATCACATGATAAAGAAAGTTTTGAAAACTCAAGTTAAGAATCATGGAAAGTCCAATGATAGGAAGATCCACTAATTCAATTCATTCTCAAAGTATAAAACTCGAGAAAACAAAAGACCAAAAACTGTTACTTTTGAAAAAAAATCTTTTGACACTAAGATTTAAACAAAAACAAAATAATCAACAAAAATTCGGGTCTCTATGAAATTCTCATTAATTGAAAATCCATAAATTCCATTTTACTCATTAGATTCAAATGAAACCAACAAGAAGGAAGGCTTTTTCATTTATACTTTATGTAGAAAGTACAAAATCATTAAGCTTCACCTTTCAAAGAATAGATCCAAGATATTTACCACAAGATAAACTCTTAAACCCTTCTCATGTAAAGACATCTCTTTAGAAAGAAAAGGCTATCTCGAGCAAGAATCTCTTCTTTAGCATCAATTCTCTCCTTAAGGATTCAACACATAAGATCCACTAACTTGCTCATAGGAGAAACAGTTCTCTACTTGCAAATTAAGGATAAATTTCAAGATGTAGCGCCCACTTTGATTAGATACCAATGTACCATCATCAAGCTCTCGCATAGAACCCCAAAATAACACCACAAGATCAAACAAATGTGTAAGAAGTCTCGCACAACCACACAAAAGACAAGATCAATTTTGAAAACGTAGTTTTCACAAGAATTTGATTTATTTTTTTCAAAACCCATTCTGCAATAAGAAGGAACCTTGAAACAAATAAAGATAGTACTATTTCGTTAGTAGCACAAAGCTTGATTACTACACCAAGTAACGGATTCCGTGGCAACTCAAGATATTCTCAAAACCAAGAACAATGAAGTCCTCAATCAAAAAGAAATCTCTCAAAAATCAAACTGATAATAGAAACTGATAGGATAATATCAATTAATACCATCACTAAGATAGTCCAAGCTCTGATACCAAGAAACTGATAGCAATCTCGTAGATGAAGTAAATTTCGTTAATGCAACCATCAACAAGAAAGTACGAAATTAATTTTGTCTATCCCGTGAAACTCAAAAGAGTGCGAAAAATTCACAGTAAGACGATCGTTTATCTAAGTGATTCTATCTCTTAACTCAAACCAAGCAAAAAACACATTATCCATGAAAGATTTGAATTAAACAACAACCCACGCTAAGAATAGCAAGGACACCATTCAATATACTCGATCAGTCATCATTCAAGAGACACAAGAAAGGTAGGAGCAAACAATGCTCAACTATGAAGGAATACTATTGATTAGTAATCTTCATAACCAACCAAAGATATGCAACACATACACTATCTCAAAATGCTTATGTCAAAGCACAACTCATCCAACAAAAGTAGGACAAACCCCACAATGGAACTCATGAACACACTCATCATGAAATTCGAACACCAAGACAAAAGAAAGACTCATCAATCAAACTACTAGAAGTAGTATGAAAATAAGAAGTTTTGTTTTAAAATAATTCTATCAAGACGCATACTTGAAAAAGAACGGTTTCTGCAAGATCAAAAAGATCCAAGACAAGATGAAAACCCTCTGGTTAAATCATACTTGACATGAAAAATGGACACTCCATTTAACAAAAATTCCTCACAGGAAAAACTCTCAAAAGAGACAACAAAAATGACCACTCAAGGGTGCTTTTGATTTTCGGCCAGCACCACTAAAAGAAGATCAATTAGGACTCTCTAATCTTATCTCACAAGGAATAGAAGTAGAAGAGTATTTGATCTCTTTGACTCTATCTAAAATCTAGGAAACCTTATCTAAATGACTTATCCTCAAGTAGAATAATATCTAGAAGGAATCTAAGATTCGTAATCAAAACACTCTAGTTTTATTCAGCCCACA